ACTACTACTACTCTACGACTACTACTACTACTACTACTACTACTACTACTACTACTACTACTACTACTACTACTACTACTACTACTACTACTACTTCTGACTACTACTACTACTACTACTACTACTACTACTACTACTACTACTACTACTACTACTACTACTACTACTACTACTACTACTACTACTACTACTACTACTACTACTACTACTACTACTACTACTACTACTACTACTACTACTACTACTACTACTACTACTACTACTACTACTACTACTACGACTACGACTACTGCTACTATTACTATTATTACGCTTATTGCTTGTCCTGTATATCATACTTAACCTCTTACTACAAATTGTATTCTTTCGTGTTCGCATAGTCGTCATTTAAGTATTGAAGCTTTCGTGTTACTGTGATTCAAATACCTTTTCTTCCGACTGTGAATATTCGTATTGAGAGCTTTGTTATTGTTGTGAGATTCATTCGCACACTCTGAAATACTCTTCGCCTTGATACAAATATACAAGTTGGACTTGGTTGATGAGTAATAGTATTAAGATTGTCTTTGATCTTAATATTCTTCTTGCTGCTACGAATACTCATTCCATCCTCCGAGCCTCATGTGTCTTGGGCGGCGCCGGCGGCCAGCCCACCACCTTGGGCGAGTCGAGCGGCTTGACCTGCTGCGGCTTGCAGAAAAGCCCCAGCACCCCGCCGAAATGCTGCATCGTGGTGAGCAGGCACGCCGCGAGGCGGGGGAGGTATGCCCGCCCCGAGCCGCAAAACGCCTTTGCGCGAAGGGGGGCCACGGCGACGCCACAGAAGGACACACTACATCGCCGCCCCCGAAAGGGTCTAGCGCATCTCGGGGCTCCACCGAGATAGCGGCTCCACCAAGACACTGTCGAAGCCCGTCGGCCCAGAGTTGACGTGGCGATTCCGCCCAAGACTTCTTCGAAGAATCGTCTTCGACCGAAGTCGACACTCCCTGGTCCAAAATCCAAGCTGCGTGAAAATGCCATCGTTTCACGAAAAAACGAGACGCACCCTGGCAACACTGTACTGAGGGGCCGTCACGGGCCCCTTTCGACATGTCCTCCGTTGATGGCATCGCAACGGGGTTCCGCCGCCGAACGGGGAGAGTTCAATACTGGCCGATCTCTCGTAGTAATGTGTGCTGACGTCGGCGGCGCACGTCCGATTCGAACAGACCATACACAAGTGAGCGGCATGGTCAGAGAGCGCCCGCCATGGAGCTACAGCTGAAAAGGCGCTCTAGGAGGTTCTCATGCTCGAGACCTGGACCAGCTTTCCAGAAACGCTTCTCGAAACAGGCCTGGGCCGACTGTTCGATGGGGGGGAACGAGCGTGCTTGAGAAACTGGGCCAGCCTTCGAGCAGGTTGGCTAAGAAACGCTGGCCCTGCGTTTCGGGAGGGGGGCACTCAGATGGCTGGCCGTAAGATTAGGTCGGGCATGTCCCCCTACAGGGGGATTTTGGAAGAAAAATAAGAAGTACCCCCCAAAAAAATCAAACAACAAAATGTTCAAAAATGCTCAAAAAAGTGTCCCCTGATCATTTGTTTTACTATTTTTGAATATTCCCCCTGTAGAGGGACAGGCCCGACTCAACCGCAACATCACGAGACTTCCGAGCGTGCGCGCCGCCCCCGCGGGGCCGACGCGCCCAGGGTGTTCCGCGGGCTGCGGCGTTGCCGCGCGGCCGCGCGGGACTCGCCGGAGGCCGCACGACGGCTGCTGCCCCCGGCGACTCGCGCCTGGAGCTCCCACGGCGGGTGCTGCCAGAAGTGCCCCTGTCGGGGATGGACAGACCCCCCTTTAGTAAAACGTGGTTTAGTGAAAACGACCTGAGGCCCAAACCTGGCGGGCGCAAGCCTGGAAAATAACGGCCACGGCGCCACCTCGAGATCCGACAAGGGACAATTCACTAATCGACGTGTCACTGTTGGGGGTCCTGTCCACCCCCGACCCTGACCCAAGGTGTCCCCAGCTTTTCGCTCCACTTTCGAGCCCCTGGGGCCCTCTGGGCCTCGTGAGGGGTGCCCTGGAGGCCGTCTGGGCCACCCCGAGAATCCTGGGGGCACCTTGGGCCAGGGGCACTTCCAGCAGCACCCGACCACGGCCTGCTCCAGGAGTTCCCCGGAGATCTCTGGGCTCACCTCGACTTGTCTGGACGCACATTGCCTGTTCACTGCACCGACCTTGCAGACGTGCTGTGGGGGATTGCTGCGTGGACTTCCGTCGACGCAGAGCCCCGAAACGGTAGGGGAAAAACGAAGTGCATTTCACGTGGCTCTGTGTTTGTACTCCTTCCTGGCCCAAAAAAATCCGCGCGAGATCAACTTCGAAATCCGGAGCGAAACTCTCCAGGACAATCGGGGCCCATCCCAGTGTTTTCCGAACGAGATCCGTCCTGCGATGTTGGCACCGTGAGACCTTGCTCTCGTGAGTGGCGGCGAACGCCGACCTCGGGCCACCGGCTTCCCCCTCGGAATGCCCTGCACACTCGGGCTAGAACAGGCCGAGGCATGCGCGGTGCGAGCCGTCGTGTGTCGGGCACGTGCTTCCTGCTCGCGCGTCCGGGTGTACCTGGGCCGATGTGGACGTGCCTCGACGCGCTTTGGCTCGATCCCCACAAGCGGAGGGGCGAAGAGTCGGCATCCGATGTCTGGAGTTTCTCCGTGCGGGGCCCCCAGGACGTCTGGACCTCTTCCCCAAGGCCAGGGCTCGTCGTCCCGAGCCGCCCTCCGCATGGTCCCAGGGCCTGGCGAGAGCCCCCAGAGGCCAGAAACAGCGCAAAACCTCCGCGCTTGGATTCTCGAGTCGCTGGAGGCATGGGTTGGGCTCCTTTGACTCTTCTAAAGACATCAGTACTCTAAACTGGATGAAACGACCATACCCAAAGCGACCATACACAAAACGACCACTCTTAGCTCGCTCAGGCATGCTCAGAAACATTAGCATATAGGATGCAAACGTACACCTCTTACGCACGCCCAAGGACCCCACATGCCCACCTCACGCACGCAGGCCAGATGTGGCCTTCCAGAGCCTTGACATAATCACTTGGAACCCAGAGACTGGGAGAGGCGAGGCAGATCCAAGAAATCTGCACGGAGCTCCGGAAGCGTATGTTTATGCCGCTCGTTTCCTCTTCGATCCTAGCTCTGTCTCCGCCCCCTCCTCTTTCTCCCCCTTCCCCTTGCGGAAGAGCAGCGCCGTGAAGCCACGCCGCCCCGCCGTCACACCTCTCGAGCTCGACGAGCCCAGAAGGCGGTGCGCAAGGACTGCACCCACGGTGCCGTCGTCGTCCTTCGTCGTCTTCCCTCGCCGTCTGCCGTGGTAGTCGTCTTCGCCGTCGCCGCCGTCGTCGTCGGTCGTCGTCACTCGTCGTCGCCCGTCGTCTTCCGTCGTCCTCGTCCGTCACGGCCGTCCGCCGTCCGTCGACCGTCGTCGCCCGTCGTCGGGCGGAGTCGTCGTCGTCGCCCCAACCGGCCGCCTCGCCGGTGGTAGTTCGTCGGTCGTCGGTCGTCGGTCGTCGGTGATCGGTCGTCGGTCGTCGCAGCGAGGGTGGAGTTTTGGGGGGGGGGGGGGGGAAGGAGGGGGGAAGGGAGGGAAGGGGAGGGATGAGAAGAGGAGGAGGCGGAGAAGGAGGAGGAAGGAGGAAGCGGGAGAAGGAGGAGGAGGAGGCGAAGAAGGAGGAGCAGGAGTGAGGAGGAGAAAGGAGGAAGCGGGAGGAGGAAGAGGAGGAGGAGGAAAAGGAGGAGGAGGAGGAGGAGGAAGGAGGAGGGAGGTGGAGGGAGAAGGATGGAGGAGAAGGAATCGAAGGAGAAGGAGGAGGGGGAGGAGGAGAGTGGATGACTGAGAAAGGGGGGAAGAGGAGGGGGCAGAGGAGGAGGGGGAGAAGGATAGAGGAGCACGCGGCAATCAGTTTTTATGAACTTCAAACCAAAAATCGAGTGGGCTCTCGGGGGTCCTGGTGGCCTTCCCCCGCTGCACTCCTATCGCCCTCCCCACCTTCCCGTCCCTTCTCGTACCTCCCTCCTGCCCCCCCATTCAACTCCTGCCCTCAGCCACGGCCAATCCTCCCCGCATCCATCCCTCCACTCCCCCCCCCTCCCTCTCTACCCATTCCACCACACACCACCGATCCCCTCCCCTCTCCCCCTTCCCTCCTTTTTTCCCACCCTGCCTTGCCACCCTGCAACTTCTCTATGTTCCTTTCCTTCCACCCTCACCCTCTCGCCGAGCATCTTCCCCAGTAACTACCTCGTCCTGCCCTGCAGCTGCACACCGCCGACATCGATTGCGCGAACGCATCCTGATCCACCGAACCTGTCATACGTGGCCCTGGGCTCAGACATCGGATGGCGTTGGAAACAAAACGCACGGACGACATACTCAGAGAAGCCAACGGTATCACGGTCGCTCCAGGCAGGGAAAAAAGTCGAGGATCCGGACGAGCAGGAGGCGGAAGGCGAGCACGAAGAGGAAGAGGATGAGCACGAGGAGGAGGAGGGCAGGCACGAGGATAAGGAGGACGAGGACGAGGAGGTGAGGGAGAGGAGGAGAAGGGTGACAGACCAGCCATCACCTTCGAGCTTCGAGGAGGAGGGGAAGGTCGAGGAGGAGGGCGGCGAGGGCGAGGAGGACGAGGACGAGGACGAGGGCCACAGACGAGGGGCAAATCTACACATGCACAACGCTGTGGTGCAGCACCAGCGCTGCGGGACCGCCGCACCGCAAGCCACACGCCTCTTTCGCCAAGATGCACCACGGTCACGCCATACGGCGTTCAAGACAGTGGTCGCGCCGACGCCAGTAGCTCACGAGCTCTCTGCAAACGGGTATGCCTTCGGCAACCCCTGTATGAGAGAAGCGTGCGCAGACCGCATCAATATTTTCAGATCCACGATTAGCGTAGAATGTGATGCGCCACTGCAACCGTACAGCAGCCTGTCCTTAGCACGATTCAACACACGATAAGCACGTCGCACGCCATTGCTTTAAACTGTTGGCTTGCCATCTTAGTGTATACGGAACGCGGTTGCAAATCACACGAGACTTAGCCGTTGAAGCCAATATACTGAAGAACTGCGGTAGTTAGGAGACCAATACAACCCTGCTGGGTGGAATAACCCCACATAATAAAGTCGAGCTGGTGGCGAAGATTGGTACATAACCTCTTTGAAGCAGGCTGCATAGCTAGCCTATTAGGTCGCTTGTCCACGAGCTAAGTAGTATGTATGTCCTCAGACAGATAAGTTGTACATAAGTAAGAGAGATCGCGATATTAAACTGATAGTCTTCCGATGCTGTTTGAAGCGCTACATGAGTCAAGCATTCCGAGTAATCGCGTAGCAATGTGCCTCGGGTCTCAATCGCAGGGCAAGCAAATCCCACCAGCTCTCTGGACGCAGGTGGTTTAGAGAGCTTCGTATTCCAACCTTCTGCTTCGGGAAGGGTTGATCTGTGTTCCTTAGTCATACGCTCCTCTCCCAACCCGACAGCCGCCAACCAAGACCAATGATCCCCTGACCACAGCTGCCAACAAAACACAAAGCGCACGTGGCAGCAAACTCTGAATCATGAGCGGATGCATTGCGGTCACTTTGCATTGGTTTTTGTACTGGACGGCGGGGGTGTGCGCGCACCACCCATACCAAAAGCCAATGTAAACGCATTGCGGGTACACACACCATACATCATGCTGACCACCCCACCGCCACTTGCATTGGCTTTTGGCAAGGGTAATGCGAGGCGTCGACATGTCGCCCGATGCGTGATCACACGTGCATTGCCGTACCTGCCGCCGCCAGGCGCACTCTGCACGCGTCGCGCATGGCGCAGTTGGCGCACGTGGTGCATCGGGCGCACCAGCCGCGCCTGGCACGCGTGGGCCCCTGGGTCACATGGCGCACCTGGTGCGCGTGGAGCACCTTGCACGCGCAGCGCACCTCCTGAGAGTCGCGCTCCTGGCGGGCGTCTGCACTGGTTCGCGAGAAGCGCCTATCCCATGGCAACCTCTTGCCATGCAGAATGACGGCGCAGAGATGTTCCCGAGCCCGTCTCCGAAGGCGTCCGACGGGCCACGAGCGCCCTAAGGCGGCCAAAGAAGGCCCAATATAGGCCCAAGCAGGCTCCAAGAAACACCATACGTAAAAGGCCCCCAGGAAGCCCCGACGAGGCTCTCCCAGGAGGCCCCATAGAGGCGCAAAGAGGGCCCGAGAGGCCACCAAGAGACCTCCTGTTCCTCCTCCTCCTCCGTCTCCTCCTCCTCCTCCTCCTCCTCCTCCTCCTCCTCATCCTCCTCCTCCTCCTCCTCCTCCTCCTCCTCCTCCTCCTATCCTCCTCGGTACCATCAGTCGGCTTCCGTCTTATCCTGTATCATCAACATCATTGACCTCCTCGTATGTATCTGCATCTCAGTGCGCTCAGTGTCATTAGTACGAGGATTGACCGTATGATTGGTCGCGTGAGCCGTCGCGCTTCGTGCTGTTTTCAAACTAATGTTGACAATACCGTTTGTATCATTATGATGCCGAGTACTTCCATTAGCCGCGTGGTCCGTAGTATTCGAATACGTTCTTGCGCACAGCGTTCACCACATGATCCTCGAATCCTCCTCCCAATATTTTTCATGTTCATCATCATCCCCTTCATCATCCTCATCCTCATCCACCTCACCCTCTCCTGATCATCCTCATCCTCATCCTCATACTCCTTATCACTACTCTCCGCCTGATTATCAACATCATCATTACCATAATCAGCAACAACAACATCATCATCAGCAGCATGACCATCATCAACCACAACAGCATCAGCAGCAGCAGCAACAGCATCATCATTATCATCATCATCATCATCATCATCATCATCATCATCATCATCATCATCATCATCATCATCATCGTCATCATTATCATCATCAGCATCATCATCATCATCACCATCATCGTCATCGATATCACTATCAGTGCCGCTATCCTTACCATCATCGGCACCGCCATCACTATACCATCATTACCATTATCAATATCATCATCATCATCATCATCATCATCAGCAGCATCAGCATCATCATCATCATCATCATCATCATCAGTATCACTATCAGTGCCCTTACCATTACCATCACCATCATCGTCACCGCCATCATCATCTGCATCACCGAGGGAAGGCGGAGGGCGGCCAAGAGCGCGACCGCGCTCGCGCGCGCGCAGCCCGCCGTCACCCCGACATCCAGTCCGCCCCGAGCTGCGGGCACGACGCCCTGGGAGGCGGCGGGAGAGCTCCCGAGCGGCGAACATCTACCCAAACCAGTGCCCTCGCGAGGAGGAGGAGGAGGAGGAGGAGGAGGAGGAGGAAGAGGAGGAGGAGGAGGGGGAGGAGGAGGAGGGGGAAGAGGAGGAGGAGGAAGAGGAGGCCTGGATCTCCTGGAGCGCGGTCCCGCCAGTACGCGGTCACACGGACACGCTCCGCGAAGGGCGGAAGCGCCACGCGTGCGCGGGGTGGCGGCCCAAAGGGCCCGGCCCGCGAGGCCGCGGATACGGATACACGTTTCGCCCACGAGGAGCGCCCGCGGGCTCGCGGGATCTTACAACCTTGCCTGGACGTGAGAAAGTGTTGGGTTAAGAGTATGGACTTCGCTCCAAACGATTTCGTTGAGCATGAGTCCATCCAGCTCAAGGTCTACGAATTTCCAGGAGAGCGCCCAGGGTCTAGTCCAGACTCTTGATCTTCGTGTGCAAAATCTGAAATCCGCGAAAAATCACGTTGTCTCTTAAGACTTCTGATTGTTGTATGATTGTGACGTGGGATATTGTCATCGGCAGCGCTGCTTCTGTTGCTCGTACGGGGGAGGTCGCGGCTTATCCGATTTCCCCAAACAGTGTTTGCACTTAGTGGTTTTCACTTGTTACTAAAGACGTGGGCCTGTCTGTAGGTTTGGCGGCTATGCTTGCGCCGTCGCCGCCCCGTCGCTGTATCTTCGCCGCCCAGTGTCTGGGCCTGTTTGTCGGTCGTCGCGTTTGTTGCCACCGTCGCCGCCTCGTCGCCGCCCATCATCTGGGCCTGTCTGTCGGTCGCCGCGCGTGTTGCCGCCGTCGCCACCCTGTCGCCGCCTCGTCGCCGCCACGTGGGTTGCTCCTCACAAATTTCATAACGTAGGAGTGCACCACATAGATTGCACAATACAGTTTACACCAAATACATTGAACACTACAGGTTGCATTCCATATACATGCATACATACGATTTGTACAACATGTTTTGCACCACATATGTTGCGCCACATTGGAAATATATTGCGCACGCGGTACGTGTATATACACACATGCAGATTGAACTGCATAGGATGCGCAACACGTACGGCGAGGGCAGTGGATGAAGAACCCTTGAACAAGGAATCCAGAATCCCGAAGCCAGTGGAGCGTCAAGTGTGAATTGGCTATGGAAATCACCGCCGCCGCTATCAGATAAGTAAGCCTACGAGGTCTGCTGATTCCCGGGCACATTCCTTAACGAACGCCCCCCCACCGTACTGCACGACCCAAATTCTCCTCTCCAAAATAAATAATTCTACCCCCACCAACCCCCCTGGGGTTACCATTCCCCTCGGGGTACTGCAATCTACCACCCCCTGGATTAAAAAGTCCGGATCGGCACTGCAGGCCCCCTTGCATCGTCGCTCCCCGAGAAGTAAACATGACTGGCACGAAATACCTAGCAAAGTCGCAACTTCCAAGCAACATAACTGGGACCGGAAATTCATTTGCGAGGAAGTCCCAAGCGAAATCGCCAATTTCCGGTCGCCACTGAGAATTTCCAGCCGCCTGGAAAGCGTCCGGAAATTCTTTTGGAGGAAGTAGGAGGCGGAATGCGGATTTCCGGTCGTCACCCCACTTGGCGATTATCATATTAGAGGAGGTGAAATTTAACCATGGCGGCCCCTGCAACATTGTACCGGGGCCCCGTGGCCTAACGGGAGCCGAACCTCAAGGCTTATTCCCCGACCTCTGCGGTCCGGACTTTTTATTCCAGGGGGTTGTACATATGATGATGCCTCCTTGCTCATTTTCCATATGAACTCATTCCATCCCAGCTAGTCCCGGTATCGGATCCCCCCCTCATCCCCGTCAACTAATACCACGCGGTACACATGCGTTGATCTAAGATGAGCTGAACGCACGAATCCGTTTGAAATTACAGTCGGGGCGTTGACCTAAGGAACCCTAAATAAGGAACGGCGCCCCTTCCTCCCATAAGTTGAGCTTCGATTTCCCTTGGAAAACCTCAGGAAAACGAAAGGCAAACTGCAGAACAATCAAGGAACACCGAGCCCCTCCCCAACGAAAAGGGTTCCTTCTTCAGGGCCCCGACGGTACACCATGCGAGCCACACGCGCGCGCAAGACGAAATCTTCCCTAAACCTTCGTTGTCGTGGCAATGTCAGTGTAAAAACATCAAAAGCCAAATGGTTGCTCAACAACAAAAAGTTTTCAACATTTCAGCTCACGCGCTTTTGCGGATTCCTAGGAACCCCAATGCCTGTTCAGCTTTCCTGTCCAAGAAGGCCTTCGCGGGCGCATGTCGAACTTATTACAAGGCCATCGCGCGCTTGCCAGAGGCATGATGCATGAGGGGCACCGTCATCGTCATCATTGCCGTCGGAAGCGTCGCGACCATTGTAATCGTCATTTGTCGACGCCGTTGTCCGCGCTGTCTCCAGCAAGATGGATCTTGCCCGCGCGAAGAGCGTCCACGTGCCAATGCACAGTATGAAATTATCAGAGGAGCTCCACGCTGCAACTGAAGTCACAGCCGTATGAGTTTTGCCGACCAAGATGCGGGTGTGAGGGTGGGAGGTTTGCACGAGCATGGGAGGTGGTCACGCGCGGTGCAGCGCGGTCAATTGCAACACGTAGATTGCTCCATGTTAATCTTTTGAAACAGAATACTGAGATCGACCTCCCCCCCCTCGAACTTCTTGCTTATCTGCCCCATCGCCCATCCCCCCTCTCAGCTTCTGCAAAAAAACTACGCGCACACACGTTCATCCAAACCCACCAATGTTCAAAAAAACCCACCAACAACAAAAAATGCACACGCGCACGTCGTCACGCGAGCAAGCCGAAATGCTTCAAAAACCCGAGGTTCCGTAAGGACTTCAAAATCGACTATCCCGAGAGCACATTCAAACAAAAAGATTGCGCTGGCGTTTTTTGCGAACTGATCGAAGAGGAGAGAGAGGGAGAGAGAGAGAGGGAGGGAACAACAAAAAACGGGCAGCTCGCGCGCGCATGTCGAAATCCTTCGGACGCCATTGCGCGCGTGCTGTCGCAAGGACCCCTGGCAATAAATGAAACGAAATGCACACGCGCGCGTCGTCGAGCGCGCATGCCGAAATCCTTCACAAACTTGAGGTGCCGTAGGGAATTCAAAATCGAGCCCCGAAAACGAATCAAAACACATGGTTTTGCAAAATCAAGTTTCGCAAAAACCTGCGCTCGCATTCCTGCGAATCCTTAAGAAAACCATTGGGGTGTCAACATGTTCATAACGTTCGGCCACAAGGGCCTCTCGCGTCGCATGTCGAATTCATTCGAACGCACTTGCGCGCATGTTGGGGGGGTGCACGTGCCATGCGGGCCACTCTAGCACGTCGGCCGCGCGCGCATGTCGAACTCCTTCCATAACTTTCATCACCGACGCGAGGACGCCGTCATTGTCGCTGGCCGCTGCGCGCGCGACCATGCGCGGGCTAGCGCGGCCGCAGAGATGCGCCAGCCAACACCAAGCACTCAGCGCGATCGCCGCCTCATGGGCTTTGCAAACCAAGTTGCAGGCGGGTGTGTGGGATGATTGCACGAACAGGAAAGGTGACAACTCACTGCGAACATTGTTGAATTCTCTTTTCCAGAACAACATTAGGATCTCCCCCCCCCCCCCCAGGGTTAGCGTCACCTTTTTCGTATCGCAATTTGCACGTAATTCTGCCCCATCGCCCATCCAAAAAATTAACTTTTACCATCCCAGCCAAGCCGGAGTTCGCCACCCCCCCCCCCCCTCATCCTCCCAAAAAATTATAATACGCGCACACCCGTTCATCCAAAACCGTCAAAGTTCAAATATATATATATATATATATATATGTGAAAAAACTGCAAGAACAAAAACGTAAATACGCGCGCGTCGTAGCGCGCGCATGCCAGAATCCTTCGGAAGGATCGCAAAATCGAGAGTCACGAAAGCATGTAAGAACCATGATTTTGCAACATCTGTTTTCAACAAAAAACTGCGCTCGTAAAAAAGGTAGTTCAACGTGTTCATAACATGCTAACAAGCGGGCCTCTCGCGCGCGCTTGTCGAAATCCTTCGAGCGCCCTTGCACGCGTGCTGTCGCATGATCCCCTTGCAACGAGTGAGACGAAGTGCACACGCGCGCGTCGTCGCACGCGCATGCCGACATGCGTCAAACAAATAGAGAAGTCGTACAGATTTGGAAATCGACTACCCCGACAACATATCAGACACACTGTTTTGAAACATCCGTTTTCCAGAAAACTGCGCTCACGGTCTTGCGGATTCTTAAGAAAACCATGGGTTCTTCAACATGTTCATCAGATTCTGCCAAGTGGGCCTCGCGCGCCGCATGTCGAACTCATTGAAGCGCCCTTGCGCGCCTGCTGGGAGGGGGAGCACGACCCGTGCCGAATAATACCACACGGGCCACTCGCGCGCGTCAAACGCGCGCGCATGTCGAACTCCTCCGAAAACCTTCATCGCCGACGCGAGGACATCGTCATCGCTATCGGCGGGCGTGAATGACATCGGCGCCATCATCGGCCTTGCCGTCGTCATCGCCACCATCGCCACCATCTTCGCTAATATCATAATCGTGTGTACCGTTGTCGGCACCGCCATCATACCGCGCCCGCCCAAGTCACTGACTCGCACTGAACTGCCCGCTGAAAAGTGCCCTGCGGTCAACGCCACTGCGGCCGCGTCCGTCGCGCCAAACTAACCTGCCGCTGTGCGCGCGAGCATGCGCGGGCTAGCGCGGCCGCAAAGATGCACCAGCCAACGCCAAGCACTCATCGCAATCGCCGCCACATGGGTTGTGCAAACCAAATCGAGCGGTTTGCCTGTTTGCGTGCCCAACATCTTCCGCTTTCGGGACAGAGTTTGAAGATGTCTCTGACGAGGCGCTGGTTATCGCACACCCAAGGTGGGGCGCCAGGGGGGTTCTCCGTTCGCGCTCAGGTTGCGGGGATGCCTCAGGCGGTCTGCTTGTTTGCATGCCAAACAAGCTCCGCTTTCGGAGCAGATTTTGAAGATGTCTCTGGCGAGGCGCTGGCTTTCGCACCCCTGGGCGCTCAGATTGCGAGGATGTCTCAACTGGTTTGCTTGTTTTGGTGGCCGGACTCGTCTGCGATCAAAACAGATTCTGAGGATGTCTCGGGTGATCCGCTGGTTTCAGCGCCGCCAGGGGCTCAGCTTGCGAGGATGTCTCGGGCGGTTTTCCTGTTTTGGTTGCCAGGCTCGTCTGCGTTCAGAGCAGAATCCAAGGATGTCTCGGGCGAGGCGCCGGTTTCAGCACTCTCAAGGGGGAGCAGCTAGGGTGTTCACACGGGCCCGTTTGCAATCAGATTGTGGGCTTGTCTCCAGTGGATTGCGCGTTTGAGTGCCCAGCACGCTCTGGTTTCATGACAGATGGTGAGGATGTCTCGAGCGAAGCGCTGATTTCAGCACTCCCCAGGGAGAGAGCCGTCAGGGTATAATTCACTTCCCCGTTCGCGGCCAGTGTGGGGATGTCTCAGGCGGTTTGCCTGTGTGGTGGCCCAGGCCTCTCCTTCGAGAGCCTCATGATCGCCGCGATGAACCAATCAGATCACGCACGTGGGCACCCCAAGGAGGAGCCGCCAGGGAGGGGGACACTTGCCAGGGAGGAGGAGGGAGGAGGGAGGACGGAGGAGGAGAGAGGAGGAGGAGGAGGAGGAGGAGGAGGACGCAGGTAGGGGGGAAGGATGGCCGCCAGGGAGGAGGAGGAGGAGGAGGAGGAGGATGCGGAAGGACGGCTTGGGACGAAGGAGGATGTAGGAGGAGAAAGAGCTCTCTTTGTCGCCTTCTTTCCTCTGGCCTCACGCCTGCTCGCGCTCAGGTTATTCATACTCAGAAAGACTCGCACTCGTACTCAGACCACCCGGGCGCAGATACACCCACACTAAGCTTAGTCATACTCAGACCCATACGCACAGACCCATTCACACTAAGACTCACCCACACTTACTCAGACTACCTCGCACTCAGGCTCACCCGCACCCAGACTCTCATACTCAGCTTACTCATACACAGACTCTCTCGTACCCTGACACTCGCAGCGGAAAGCGCCAGGAAACTAGATGCAAAAATGGGGATCTCCGCGTCGAGTAGCTGAATGAGGTGTGCCTTCTCGCCTTATCTCTGAGGCCTCAAGATGGCTCCAGGCTCGCCCACGAGAGCCCCAAGAGGGGCTATGAAGATGAAAGACGGCCCGAAAGGACGCCAAGAGCGCCCCGAAGGGCCCCAAAAGGCGATTCGTGAGGATCCGGATCGGGTCGCCCTACAAGATGGCCCAAGACCCAGGAGGATCCTCAAGGATCCCAAGAGGTCCCCAAGAGAGTCCCAACATCACCTCACGAGCTGCCAAAAGGGCCTCAAGAGAGCTCCAAGTTTGCAGCAAGAGGCCTCCAAGAGGCTCCCAGAGGTTTCTAAGTTCACCATCGCTGGTCTCCTTAAATCACGAAACTGTGCTATCGACCTTCATCCTCCCGACAAGTCCTGCGCATCGTTTCTGAATAAGATGATAGGGATTCGCGAGGAGTCAAGGATGTTCTTTGTTCGGCTGCCCGTTTCGGGACATGGCCGGGGCCATCAGCAATCGGCTCGGGATGAAAAACTGGCCCTGGGGAAGGGGTAGCGAGGTCTGGAGGAATGCGTGTCTCGAAAAAACCGGCCGCCAGATGTCTGGTCTGGGGGCTTGTAGGCGATCGCCTTTTTATTCGTGCCCGTGCTCATGCCCGAACCCCACGAGGGGCCCGAGTGACGAGCCAGGTTTCTCACCATGCACTGCCCCTTGGCGTCTCGAGTCGGAAGCAGCGGTAGGGACGCAGACCACAAGCTGCAGAAAGCGAGCATGCCCCCAGCCCGTGGTCCTTAGCATGCAGAGTGCCGTCCCTTCGTGTCATCTCATTTGGTCACTGCTTAGGGCCTTCGTGGCCGCAACTCCTTGTTGCTTCAGCTCAGCCCGCAACCGGTGCAACTCAGATCGTGCAACAGAACCTCGCAACGATGAGGAATTAACATATCCTGCGAACAACGACAAGTGAGAAGCAGCCACTGCAAGTTCTAGCGCCAAGAGTTCGACATCGCAGCTGTCCAGTCCAGGGGGGTGTATACCTCCAGCATGCTTATCCCTTATTCCCCGGTCATGATGCACCTTCCCCCGTGCGCGTTAGTGTGCCGCCACGCGCGCACACGCGCAGAGTGCTGCAGCCGATCGATCATGGACAAAGCGTCGACAGCCGAAAACAAGCGGAGCGGGCGCGCGTGTTCGACGGCCGGTGGATGTCCCAGCTCGACTCCAGGGCCCACATCTGCTCCTCGTTGTTCCTGCGAACGGCGGGGAACCCTACCTTGAGTAGGGCCGAGGGTCAGAGAGCGCCTTCCTCTGCAGGACCACCAAAAAGGGGACGTCAAGGTGGTCAAACGCCTCGCCGGTCAAGACAGCGAAGGTGTGCAAAGTCCAACCGTTCGCTCATGTCCAAGGTTTTGGTTTGACGCCGGGTGTGGTGCATCAGGTTCAGCTTGACCGAACAGGTTGGTTGCGCCCCTTGACGTCCTTTTCGGGTGTTCTGCAGACCTGATCCCCCAGCCCTATTCAATCCTACCCATCGGTCGGAAGAAGTGGGTAGAAACATGAAGCACACTGGGGCTCCGCACGCCCGCGCAAGAACAGGGAGGAGGGGAAATCATTCAATCCTAGAAACAGGGAGGCACATAAAAGTGCGCTGGGGCCTGGAAATCCAAATACGGTCGGAAACTGTTGCTTAGCGTGTCGCCGCGGCGGCACCGGCGACACGCCATGCCTCACAAGCGGATGGCGCGTCGCTCCGCTCCGCGGGGTGGGCGGCTCGGAAAGGCTCGGGACGTTGACGCTAACGTTGGGGCGCCGGGAAGTGCAGAGCGTGCTGCGCCGCGGCGAGGTGGGCCAAAACCGGCGGAGCGACGCGCTACTCAAAAGCTCCTGACCGCATGTAGGGGAACAAACAATGACACAAATGTAATGGGTCTGAACTGGTTGGGGCCCAGACAGTCGGTCAGGAGGGGAGCAGGGCTGGACCTGAACGTTGTGTTTCGTCTTACTTTCGTTGTGCTGTTCGTTTTGCTCTACCTGTTTTCCTGAACCTCCCTGCCAAAACGAAAAACAAAACACAGCCGAAGTCCAGCAAAACAACGGGTAGGTCCAGCACTGGAGGGGAGGATGGGGCCAAATCCGCTCAAAATCTGTCCCCCGACCCCTCCCAAGGTCCAGCTGGTGCAGCTTTTCACCCCGGATCCGTTTCTGACGGTCCCGGGGCCCAAAAACAGCCACGGGAGCCCTGAAAGGCAAAAACTCCTCCTCCGCCTCCTCCTCCTCCTCCTCCTCCTCCTCCTCCTCCTCCTCCTCCTCCTCCTCCTCCTCCTCCTCCTCCCTCCTCTCCTCCTCCTCTCACCTCGTCCTCCTCCCCTCCTCCTCTCCTCCTCCTCCTCCTCCTCTCCTCCTCCTCCTCCTCCTCCTCCTCCTCCTCCTCCTCCTCCTCCTCCTCCTCCTCCCTCCCCTCCTCCTCCTCCTCCTCCTCCTCCTCCTCCTCCTCCTCCTCCTCCTCCTCCTCCTCCTCCTCCTCCTCCTCCTCCTCTCCTTTCCCTTCCTAAGAAATTGTTCCCTGTCGCACCCCGAAGCCAGTTTTTAGGGCGGTCCAGGCGTTTCGCCTGGGACTTCCTCACCCTTTACGACCCTGAACTTCAAAACTGACAACAGTTTCACAAATGGAGGGCAGGCGGTTTTCAATGTGTGGCTCTCGCCTTAGCGCCACGCACATTAATTTCAAATGCTTAGAAGAGCTTCACGGATTGAGGGCGGGGCGCTTTCAAAATGTGGCTCTCGCCTCAGCGCAGAGCTCATTCATTTCAAGAACTGGCACAAGTTTCACAAATTGAAGGCGGGTGGTTTTCAAAATGTGACTCTCGCCTCAGCGACTCATTAATTTCAAACACGTGCAAGAGCTTCACGGATTGAGGGCGTTTCTTTTTCAAAATGTAGCTCTCGTCTCAGCGCCGCGAACATGTCCTTTAAACATGTGCAACTGTTTCACGGGTTTCCATGATCAGCGTACCAGAAACGGTGTTTTGGAAGGACTCAGGGTTATGAGAGTGCAACAGTTACGTTGAATCGCGGTGTTGAAATCCCAGGAATGGCGTTCGGGAACGACTCAAGATCGTCAAGACGCAACAATCAGATTGACACACGGAGGTGGACTCCCGAGAACGGTTTTCTGGCACGCATTAGTCTCTTAAAACGGTTGTCTTCCAACGAGGCAGTTCCCTCAGTGGAAATGAACCCTTGTAGGGGCCTATGAAGAGGGAGCTTGGAGGGAGGGTTTATTCCAACATCGTTGGCGACTCTTGGGTTTACACTGGTCCTCCTCCTCCTCCTCCTCCTCCTCCTCCTCCTCCTCCTCCTCCCCCTCCTCCTCCTCCTCATCCCCCTCCTCCTCCTCCTCCTCCTCCTCCTCCTCCGCCTCCTCCTCCCGAGACCCCCAAACGACTCCAACTCCCTCCCCTCCTCGCGTCGCACCTGGCCCGAGATGTGCGCGCGCCGCCGCAGCGCGTGGACCGGAGGCGCCCCAGGGAGAAGTCCCGGGAGGAGCGAAGAGGTGGGGATGGGGACAGCACTAGGGGAACGAGCAATGACATAAACATCAAAACTCGGAGGTCCGCGCGGATTTCTCGGATCCGCGCTGGGGCCCGCGCCGCCCCTGGCGCGCTCCGCGCGCCAGGGAGGGGGGTCCAGCGCGGATCCGACAAATCTGCGCGGACCTCCAAGTCTTTATGCTTATGTCATTGCTCGTTCCCCTAAGCCCAACCCACCCCCAGCTCCAGCCAGGAGCCCCACCTCTCGACCTAGCGATCCAGGGAGTCCTGGCTGGGGTGGGTGTGGCTTCTGGGCCTCCAGAAGTCCTGACAAGCCAACCCCCCCACCCCCAGGCGGCACCCCCTGGATCGCCAGGTCGGGAGCGGGGGTCAGGGCTGTGAGGGCGGAGGTGGGTTGTGCTCTCCTCAGGGGAGGGTGGGGCGACATGAGTGGGGAGGGAAGGTCAGGAGAGCAAACGGGCACTCTGTTCCGCAAGGCAGGGAGGGGAATGCCCTGGGGCGAGTGCCTCCAGGCCTCAGGGGAGCGGGAGCGGGAAGCGCAAGACCGCGGGGAGGCCCGAGCGCAGACCCCCCATGGAGTGGCACGGCAAGGGCTATTTTGTTCTCATCGTACTTGAGGACCGCGTCCCACAAATAATTCCGAGCACTCAGAAAAAGTATCGAAACAGTATCGGACGAGTATCGCCTGCCAGGGCCCCACACGTGAACACCCTCAACTTTCGGCACTCTCGTGGTGCTCGAACTTCTCCCTGGTGACCAAGGCTAAAGAGGGTTGGAACATCAGAAGGCAAGGGGTGCCAGGGCGGCTTCGTCCCCCGAGACGGGGCCGTCCCCTGGTCGGGGTCGCCTGGCGGCCTCCCGCACCGCTCTCACGCAGGATGCCTTCAGGGGTGCCTTTCGCGCGCGCGCTCCCACAGCAGTTCTGATGGAATACCAACACTCGACACACAGCGCCTGGATACGATACACCCGATACGGAGCGCATGGATACGATACCAACACTCCCACAGGCTCAGCTGCCTCGACACGCAACGCTCGACACGCAGCGCACGGATGCGGCACTCAGCACCTAGACTGAAAACGCAGGTCTGACGCGATGCGATCGCCGAAACGTGGTCCGATACGATGAGCCAACACGCAACGTGTTGACACGGACGGGGGGGGAGGAGGAGGAGGAGGAGGAGGAGGAGGAGGAGGAGGAGGAGGAGGAGGAGGAGGAGGAGGAGGAGGAGGAGGAGGAGGAGGAGGAGGAGGAGGAGGAGGAGAGGAGGAGGAGGAGGAGGAGGAGGAGGAGGAGGAGAAGGAGGAGGAGGAGGAGGGGAGCACGGTACGCGCGTTGCGTTTCAAGACGGACGCATCGAGGCAGCTGTAGGGAGCCCGGCCCTGGCCCGGTGGAGCACGTCGCGCGGGGTGCCCGCTGCGCACGCCACGGGCGCCGGGGGGGCGCGCGCGCAGGGAGGGACGGGCGTGCTGCTCGGAGCAGGGGGCTCCAGGGCGGGCCCGCCCCATGTCCCGAGCTTGTGGCAAGCTCCTCGGCTCGTCGCTGTCGTGGTCGTCGTGGTCGTCGTCGTGGTCGGCGTCGTCGTCGTCCTTCTGGGTCGGCGGCACCGGCCGCAAGCCCTGCACAACACGTCGTGCTGGGTGCCCGCGCCGCGTTCCACGGACGCGGGGGGCGCAAGTGTGGCAGGGACGGGCGTGCTGCTCGAAGCAGGCGGCTCCAGGGCGGGAGGGGCGCCCGTCGAGAAGGGCGGCCGGTCTGCCTGGGCGCTCTGCCAGAGAGGACGCCTCAAACGTTGCAGGTCGGGTACGTGATTGCGGCAGGAGGGGGTGGAGGAGGAGAGGAGGAGGAGGAGGAGGAGGAGGAGGAGGAGGAGGAGGAGGAGGAGGAAAGCGTGCTGCTCCATTCGCTCATGCTTTGCGCTGAGGCCATGTCGGCCAAGTCGGAGCTGTTTCTACGGGTGCCTGTTTGACGCAGCAGCGATGCAGCTCATGTCCGCGCAGCGTACCAAAGAGCAGGAGGAGGAGGAGGAGGCGTGGGAGCAGATGCGGCGGCGGCGCGCTCAGCCTCCGCGTGTCCGTTCGTCCCCTCCCACCCCGAAGCACCCGAGGCCGACAGGATGCCTCTGTGCTTCCTCCTCCTCCTCCTCCTTCTTCACCTTTCCTGCTCCTGATAAAGAACTCCTCCATGTCGCGCCCCCAGACGTGTCGGCAGAGCGGGTCCGGCGTTTCGCCAGAGACTTCCTCGCCATCTATGATCATGGAGTTCGACATGTACAACAACTTCACGGATGGAGGGCGGGCCATTTTCAAACTGTGGCCCTCGCGTTAGCACCGCGCACATTTGCATCAAAAGTTTGCAGCAGCTTCACGAATGAGGGCGGTTCCTTTTTCAAAATGTGGCTCGCATGTTAGCGACGCGCACATTATTCGTTTCGAAATTTTGCCACAGCTTCACGGATGGAGGGCGGGTCGGTTTCACAATGTGGCTCTCGCCTTGGCGCCGCGCATATTCGTTTCAAAGGTCCTTCAAGGATTCGTATGGCCCAAGTCCCAGGAAAAGCATTATGGCGCAATTTAAGGCGGTTGGGACGTAGCAGCTACACTGTTTCGTTGAGCTGAAGTAACAGGAACGGCGTTCTGGCACGATCTAGACTTGTTAGGACGCAACAATCATGCTCATCCGCGGCATTGAAATCGCAGGAACTGCGTTGTGGTACGAATGAAGATTCTCAGACGCTTGTCTTCTAGTGGGCCACTTCCCACAATGCGAATGACTTCTTTCACGGACCCATGAAGAGGGAATTTGGAGGGAAGGTTTATCGCAACGTCGTTGGAATCTTCGAAGAAAGAGAAAGAACTCGATCATCTGCCTCCTCCGACTGCTCCTCTCATCCTCATCCTCCGCCTTATCCTGCTCCGCATCCTCATCCTTCTCCTACTCCTTCTCCTCCTCCTCCTCCTCCTCCTCCTCCTCCTCCTCCTCTTCCTCCTCCTCCATTCCATTCCATTCCATTCCATTCCATTCCATTCCATTCCATTCCACTACATTTCCTTATGAATCACGCCTCCCTGTCGCACCTCGAGGCGGGTCGGAAGGGCGGGCCAGGCGTTTCGCCTGAGACTTCCTGACTAGTTATGAGCCTCACGCTTAGGAACTGGCAACAACTTCACAGTTGGAGGGCGGGTCACTTCCAAAATGCAGCTCTCGCGCAGGGGCCGCGCACATTGGCTTGAAAAAAATCCCAGAGCTTCGCGGAATGAGGGCGGGTCGCTCTCAAAATGTGGCTCTCGCTTTGGTGCCGCGCACAATCGTTGAAACATGCACAGGTGTCGCAGATTGATGGCGGCTTTTTTCAAAATGTGGTTCTCGCCCTAGCACCGCGCACATGCATGCAAAACACGTAAGGGCTTCACGGATGGATGGCGGGTCGTTGTTGTTTAATGTGGCTCTCGCCGAAGCGCTGTGTAGATTCGTTTGGAACTTCGCAAGTGTTTCGATTATTCTCACGGTAGACGTACCAGACTTGGTGTTTTGGCACGAGTCAGGATTGTCAGGGCGCAACAGTTACGTTAATCCGAGGTGTTGAAGTCCCAGGAATGGCGTTCTGGCACGATTCAGGATCGGCAAGACAGAGCAGTTGGGTTGACTCGTGGCGTTGAATTCCTGAGAATGGTGCTTTGGCACGCTTCAAGATTTCCCCCCCCAAAAAAAATGTCCCCCAGCGCGGCACTTCCCTCAATGGACATGAACCCTTGTATGGGGGGTATGAAGAAGGAGCTCGGAGAGAGGGTGCATTCCAACATAGCTGATGAGTCTTGGGTTTACACTGGCCCTCCCCCTCCTCCTCCTCCCTCTCCTCCTCCTCCTCCTCCTCCTCCTCCTCCTCCTCCTCCTCCTCCTCCTCCTCCTCCTCCTCCTCCCTCCTCCTCCTCCTCCTCCTCCTCCTCCTCCTCCTCCTCCTCCTCCTCCTCCTGCCCCCCCTCGCACATGCACCCCCGCACCTCCCCAGGGCCGCGCAATTGACCCAGATTTCGGCGCGGCCTCCGGCCGCGGACACGAGAAGCCTCCGGGAGGCCCAAGCAGAGCCAAACCCCACCCCCCCCGCCGATCCAGACCCCCCGCGGCGTGATTGTTTCAGCACATGCCCTACCTCCGCACGGGACGCACAAGGACATACCAGTTCTCTGTGTGTCCTCCTCGGAGGACGTGCGTCCGACCCGAAGACAGAACACCATCATCTCGTAGCATGTGGTTTACCGAGCGGTATGGCCAGCAAGCGCCCGCCACGGAGCTTGTAAGAGTGAAGGGGCCCAATGGTCATTCACTGTCCCTGGGTGCGTGGCTGAAGGGGGCTTCCTCGGTGCGGATTGTTGTTGTTGTTGTTGCTGTTGCTGTTGCTGTTGCTGCTGCTGTTGCTGTTGCTGTTGCTGTTGCTGTTGCTGTTGCTGTTGCTGTTGCTGATGTTGTTGCTGTTGTTGGTGTTGATGTTGTTGCTGTTGATGTTGTTGTTGCTGTTGCTGTTGTTGATGTTATTGTTGTTGACGTCGTCGTCGTCGTTGTTGTTGCTGCTGCTGCTGTTGCGTGTTGCTTGTTGTCACCGTCCTGCCCAGCACTCGTCCCCCGACTCGGCCCGCGACCCACCCCACGACACACCCGCGACCCACCCCGCGACCCACCCGCGACCCACCCGCGACCCCACGCGCGACCCACCCCGCGACCCACCCGCGACCCACCGCGCGACCCGCCCGCGACTCACCCGCGACTCACCCGCGACCCACCCGCGACCCACCCACGACCCTCGCGCCACGCGCGACCCACGCGTGACCCACCCGCGACCCACCCGCGCGCGTCTCGCCAGCGACCCACCCGCGACCCACCCCGCGCCAGCCCCCTTCACTCTTATCCGCAATTGCGGGGTGTATCTACTAGAAGATTTCTCGGCGCGCGCGTCGCCCCTGGGAGGGGGGACGCACACTCGGTAACTTATTAGGTCGGGCATGTCCTCCTACAGGCGGAATTTGGAAGAAAATGAAAATAGTCGTCAAAAAGAAAACTAGCAAAAGTAGTCAAGAATAATCGAAAATCGTCCCCCGATTGAATATGAGCATGTTGGGGTGACGCCGATCCTCAGGACGTGCTTGCCATCCTGAGCCGGTTTTTGTTCACTGCCCGGGGCCCCGCAAACCGACGGGTGTCAAAAACCTTCCGTCGTGGCTCTGCCCCGGGCCACAAGCATCCGACGTCGTGCTTTTGTTTCACCACGTGGCTCCAAGGTCTGGACCTCTTCGCGGGGACCAGTTCTTCATCCCAGGTCGTTTTGTTGACGGCCCTGGGGCCCGACGAGGGCTCCCAAAGGCCAACACTGGCCAAAACCCCGTCACCGCGACTCTTGTTGCGATAGGGGGGCGTTCTGGCGCGCGGGAGGGCCCCCAGAGCCCCCGCACAAAAAGGCCCCCTCTCGACCGAGCTCCACCCCGCGAGCGCGGGCGAGTAGACACATAGCGACGCGGGAGGAAGGCAGCTGCAGCAGGCTCGAGACTGCTCGGTGCTGTTTCCAGGCCACAGCTCGGGTCTGCGGTGGCCGTTCGGGACGGTCCTGGCACCCCCTGAGCGCTCCGGTTGGGGAACAAACCATGACAGTAACATAAAAACTCGGAGGTCCGCGCGGATTTCTCGGATCGGCGCTGGACCCCCTCCCTGGCGCGCGGAGCGCGCCAGGGGCGGCGCCGGAGGCGCCGCCAAGGGGCCCCAGCGCCGATCCGCAAAATCCGCGCGGACCTCCGAGTTTTTATGTGTATGTCATTGTTTGTTCCCCTCTCTCGGCGGGCCGCAGTTGCTGGAGAGCATCCTGAGGCCAGCAGACCGCCGAGAATCGACGAGCCCCCTGCCCGACAGGGCCCTCTCTCGGCCAAGCTCCGCCATCGCCGCAGTTCGCCTCCCGCCACGGGCCGAGCACGCCCGCTGCCGCGGCCGCGCGAGGCGCCAGCCTCCGAATCATGTCGTCCAGGAGGCGGCAGTCGAACTCGGGCCTGCGTGCGCGCAGCGAGGAAGGGCAGGCCGCAGTTCGGACAGGGGGGCGGGGGGAAAAGGGGGGAGGAGGCGCAGGAGGAGGAGGAGGAGGAGGAGGAGGAGGACCAGTGCAAGCCTAACGCCTCCTTGGTTCTCTCCGCTCAGAGCTCATTGCAGTCAGAACCACACGGGCGCTCAAGCTCGAGATCCGACCTGGTTCTGGGTCTGGACTGGGGTACGAAACTCAGTCCCGAGGAGGGCAATGCTGGCAGCACGAATAGCGGAACGACAGCGAGTGGTTTCCACCCCTCCCCCTGCTCCTCCTGCTCCTCCTCCTCCTCCTCCTCCTCCTCCTCCTCCTCCTCCTCCTCCTCCTCCTCCTCCTCCTCCTCCTCCTCCTCCCCTCCTCCGACTCCAACTCCGACTCCGACTCCGACTCCAGACTCCGACTCCTCCTGCTCCTACTCCTCGCCGAGGCAGGCAAATGTCATGCAATGCCGAACAAAATGGCATCCCTTTCGGAGGACGGCACTCCTCGAAGGAGCCCTCTACGTGGCGGCGCTGGCGCACGCCAGGAAAGAACCGAAAAGCAACCAACTGTTGTATCGGGGGGGCGCAGTACCGGGTCACCCGCTGAACCCTCGTATACTTCCAGCCTCAACGGGAAGAGGATGCAGCCGACGGGCCCCAGTCACCGCATGCGGCCTGTGGCGATGAAGTACGTCTGCCACGGCCTCATCGCCTGGCGGTGGCCCGTCGCCCAGATCCATCTGGTAGTCGGCAGCCTGTTCGGTTATGCCAGCAGCTCCGCATTCGCGCACCATTATGGATCCACGACGCTGACGCAGAGGTACGGGCGTCTCCGATCTGGTGGATGGTGCGCGGTTCGTCGGCTGCCCGCCTTGGCGGCGCAGGACTTGATGTGCGTGGTCAGTGCTACGCATATAGTCCAGCTACAGGTGCGGGTGCTTCCTGGAGGTGCCCAGGGGCCAGACTGAAGACTGCAGGCGCCCACACGTCGCGCGGCCAGGGGCCAGAGCGATGGAGCCGAAGCGTTGTACGCATGATGGGCGTACCAGGCTGCGGACGCGGCATGGGCAATGACGGGGCGCAAGGGGCTGCGTACCAGCATGACGGGGCGCATGGCATAAGCAATTTGACGCCAGTTCTAGAACCTGGGGCCGTGGTGGGACACCACAGTGTTGCGCCAACCTCGAAGGCTTTGCTCGCTGCGGCGACTGTCGTGGCAGAGCGCTGCTGCTACTACATGGCCGGACCATGCCAATCGTGCTAAGCGTTCCTGGTGTCCCAAAACGTCGCGCGGTGACGGTTGGTCTTCCAGCTGAGGTCGTACTGTCGCATCCAGACAATGTCTTAAATCACGACGTGAAGCCAGGCCGTAGTGCAACGGCGAGCATGGACGGCAGACGCTGCAAATCCGCCGACCCTGTCGGCGTGTGCGAGGGGCTTGGCTGTTCGAGTCGTCGTCTCCGTCGGTCGTCGCCTCCGTCGCCCCATTTCCCTGCAGCTTCCTTCTCAAGCTCGTGAGCGAGAGAAAAATCTAGCAGTGTCGTAATCGAGTCGAAGGGAAGCCCCTTCCCTTCGATCCCTTCCCCAGGGGGGGGGGTCCGGGGGGGTCCCGGGGGGGGTCCCGGGCCGGGGGGTGTCCCGGGGGGGGTGGGGGGGCAGATTCGTTTTCCCTCGGGCGGCCTAGAAACCTCGAAAACACTCCAAATGAGGTCCGAATGCCCAAGATGGCCCCCGAGACGGCCCAAGAGGGCCCCGAGTCGCCCACAAGATCGGCCGAAAACGCCCACGATAGCCCCAAGACCGTCCAAGAAGCCTCCAAGACGTCCCAGGCCCCCTCCAAGAGACCCCCAGGAAGCCCCAAGAGGCCCCCACGAGGCTTCCAAGCGGTCCCTGAGAGCTTCCCAAGAGGCCCACAAACTACCCCCAAGAGGCCCCCAAGAGCGCTCGTCGTCGTCGTCGTCGCCATTCAGGGTCGGCGGCACCGGCCGTAAGGCCTTCGCAATACACATGGAGGGGCACATTGGCGAACACGTCTAAATCGGCGGAGCCCATGCCCCCGTAGCATGGTTCCCGTGGGCATAAATATGACCGCCATGAACACTACCCAGTTAGCACGTCCGGGGGCTGGATGATGGCCATGCGATTAAGCTTGGCCGCTCTTTGATAATTGATGCCGAGTTGCGGCCAGCATGCGCCAGCATCCTGCGTTGAAAAGCCCTGGTGAAGTATGACTGATCGGTCAGACGTGGACTTAGAGATTGGTCACCGTGAGGGCTTTTCGCAACCATGCTGTTCAACACACGTGTAGCACATCTCGTGCTGGAAAGGCGATTGGCCATCACAGGTCCGATGACACGATTGTGGTTGACAACTGTGCCTAGATGTGAATACGAGTGCGCGGTCTCAGCATCAATGGTGGTGTCGGCTGAACTGCGCGTGATGTGTATCACGCCGACATCGTCATCATCATCATCATCATCATCAGCATCATCATCAGCATCATCATCATCAGCACCAGCAGCAGCACCAGCACCAGCACCAGCACCAGCACCAGCACCAGCACCAGCAGCATCGTCGTCGTCATCATTATCAGCAGGATCGTCATCATCATCATCATCATCATCATCATCATCATCATCATCAGAGTCGTCATCATCATCAGCATCATCAGCATCATCATCATCGTCACCACCACCACCATCATCATCATCGTCGTCGTTATCATCAGCATCATCAGCAGCAGCATCATCACCACCATCACCACCATCATCATCAGCAGCATCGTCATCGTCATCATCATCACCACCACCATCACCACCACCACCACCACCATCACCATCATCCGCATCATCATCATCGATGCCTTCGTCCTCACCATGCCGAGCCGGCCCCACTGGAGCACAGGATCCGGTGGGTGTGCGCGCCGCCGGCTCTCCGTGCTCGGGCGGCGGCACCCGAGGACCCGAGCCTCTGCAGGCGGCGGCGGCGGGCCCCTGGCGAGCACCACCCCGGCAGGCAACCGCGACGATGATGCCGACGCCAAGGTGGAGGAAGGAGGAGGAGGGGGAGGATCAGAAGGAGGATCAGAAGGAGGAGGAGGAGGAGGAGGAGGAGGAGGAGGAGGAGGAGATGGCGCGCCCCTTAATTCTGGAGGAGGAGGAGGAGGAAGAGGAGGAGGAGGAGGAGGGCCTGGAGTCGCAATCGCCTCGCGCTGGGCGGTCTCTCGCCCCACCTCGGGCCCCGGGGCCTCAGCAGCTCGATCGGGCTCGGACGAAATGCCGCGAAAAGATGGGGTCCAGGGCTCTGGTCGCAAGTTTCTACCATGTGGCATTCTTTTGCCGTGCCGAATCTCAAGGGAGCTCGGAATTCCCAACGACCTCACCAGACGATCCGTCACAGCACCTGTTAGGGACCCTGGAGGCCCCAGTCATCGGAGAACGACCCAAGTCCCAAAACCGTGCAGTCACCCCGAATCCCCACTGATTCATCTCACGGCGTGGTCACCGCCCCGTCTGAGGGCCCACAGCTTGCCCCAGCAGGTCTGATTGTTGAAGCGCCAGAGGGGGCTCATAATCGGAAGGACGTCTGCTCTGCAGCCAAGCGAGCCCCTTCAGACGTGTCTTCTGACACCCCAGCATCGAGTCGATCCACTTGTAGGGTCACAAAGTGGTTGCAGACCCAGACCTCTGGCGCTGTGATTTTGGCCGAGGATGGAAGTGATTGTTTTTTGTTTACACGGTTCAGAAAAAGCCTGCCTGCCTCTTGATCACTCTGGAGGTCTCTGGAGATCTCTGGAGGCCTCAGGGTCTCTCTGAAGGCCTCCCAGGATCAGACCTCTGGCGATTCGCACCAGAGATGTGTGTAATCATAGCCTCTGGGCCGTTCTCTAAATCAACGACACTCCAAAAAATAGTGAGGATGAATTACCCCGATGCGACCCTACCTAGAAGTTTGAGCCCCTAGCAAAGCAGCATTAGTTGCTATGCTGTGCTATGCTATGCTATGCCATGCTATGCCATGCTATGCTGCGCGATGTTATGCTATGCTATGCTATGCTATGTTATGCTATGATATGCTATGCTATGATATGCTGCGCTATGATATGCTATGATATGATATGCCAGGCTATGCTATGCTATGTTAAGCTATGCTATGTCATGCTGAGCTGTGCTATGCTCAGCTATGATGTGCTGTGCTGTGCTGCGCTATGCTGTGCTATGCTATGCTATGCTATGCTGCGCTATGCTATGCTGCGTTATGCAATGCTATGCTGGGCTATGCTATGATATGCTGTGCTGCGCTATGCTATGCTGCGCTATGCTATGTCATGCTGTGCTCTGCTATGCTAAAGCTCAGCGAAGCTAATGTGAAGGTAAGCTAAGCTAAGATAAACCTGAGCTAAGATGAAGCTAAGCTAAGCTAAGATGAAATAGGCTAAGCTAAGATGAGATAAGCAACGTTAAGCTAAGGGGACGTAACTAGGGGGACCGCGGGGCGGATCCTGGCAGAACCGCCCGGAGCGATTTACACTGCCGGGCCCCTTTAAGATACAGAGTAAGAACCCTTCTAGCAGAGCCTGGGTAGGGAAAAACCGGTTCCTGGTAAAGGCTGAAGGTGGGGGGCGGCTCAGGCGGGGAAACGTCGATATTGAATCAGCGATGCATCCCCGACAGATCGACGACAGGCCCCCGACAGCCACACCGCACGTTCCTGGGCGCCGTGGGCTATCGGGCCCCCATCGGCGATGAATGGGCGATTGGGGGTCGATACATCCCCCCCTGAGCCTGCGCCCCCTGACGTCACCCCCGAGAGAGGTGCGGGGGCCACGTATACTGACACAGCGCACGACGTCGGAGGACCGGGGTCCAGGCCTCCGGCGCCACGCTGCAAAAACACCGACGTCGGCCTCCGTGAGGGCGCCGGGGTCGTCGTTGGGCCCCGGGGCCATGCGCAAGGGCTCCCGGACGAAAAACGGAACTGGGAAGGAGATCGAGAGTTCTGTTATGCCTTCTCCGCGCACGAGCCACTAGCACGATGCCTCTGCCCTCGAGCGCGGCATGTCGCGGCAGCAATGCTGCGCCGCAGCGCGAGACAGAGGAGCGGGCGGTGGCCGTCGGACCTCTCAGCACCGCGTGCGACCCCCAGCTGAAAGCCATGGCACCAGGCAGCAGGGGAGACAAAACGAGGCGAGCCGACCAGGAGGTCGAGGGTGATGGGGGGGGCCGCGTCGTGAAGAGAGTCGTGGCGCCTGAGGGCTGGGGCTGGCTTGTGTCAGGCTGCTGGCTGCCTACGACCAGTAGCGGCAGACGAAGACGGTCATGGCGACGCCGAGGATTTCCAGGAGGATGGCAGCAGCATGTGATGACGGCCAGACGAGCATGAATGGCGCCACCAGCAACCAGAACATCGCGAAGAGCGGATAGAGGCACAGGAAGGGCGCCAAGACAAAGCCCAGTATGAGGTCCAACGCTCTCGAGCAACACCCACTGGAGCTCCATAACCGCTCGAGGACATCCCGCCCAGCATTCAGAACGGCGGGGAAGCACAATACCAAAAAGGCGCCGATCAGCCAAGTAAGAACGACTCGCCCATCGACTTGACATAGGCTGGACCACGCCGCACGCGGGAGCACAGCTGAAGAAGAGGCGATTTCGAACATGGCGACACCCTCGAGATGATCCCACGCGGCGTCACTGCGCAACCCCTTCGACATCTGCGTGCTCGCTACCTTGCTTGCCACCCGGGCGCCAGGGGACGGGAGCGCAGCCAGACCCAGTGCCATCAGGCTGAGCGCCAGTGCTGAAACACCGGCCAGCGCAGCGGCACGCCGGACCCTGACCGCGGTCGCCGCGCGGCACCAGAGGACTGGCTGCACATCCTGCTCGGCTCCCAACAGCGGCTCCCCGACGGGCGGAAGAGAGAAGACGAGAGAACACATCGTCGACGGCCGCACGCTTCGCGCGGGGGGGGACCTACTCGAGCCGATACAGATTCAGCCAGAAACTCAACCTCAAACGACTACAGTAGGGGGGGCGAGGAGGGGGGGGGACAGGAGAGGATGCGAACGAGGTCTGAGGATGAGGAGGAAGCGGGCGACTGAGGATAGAGGATGTGAAAGGGGGAGGTGAGAGGAGAAACACGACTCCAATGAGCTTGGTTTGGCCGCTCGCAATCATATGGCGAAGCGGAGATTCGGGGAACGCGGATGACACCAGTGTTTCTCCAGCCTGGCACGCACGTGGTGAGTAACCGAACCAGCGAGCCAGCTCGACCAGAAGAAAGGAGCAATTCAAACTGCCCTCCGGAGCGACTCGGGGACAGGGGGGGCGCAGCAGGCTGACGCTGCGGTGCCTGAGGCCTGACGATCCAGAGCGGATGAGGGCTGAGAATGCGCGGCGGCCGCGGGCTTGGGTGCAGCACGAGGCCTGCGACCCACATCGCATGGGTACCTCGCAGGGCCTGTGTGCACCACAGGGCCTGTATGCATCACAGCGCCTATGTGCACCGCAGGGCCCGTGATCTCGACTGCTCAGCGTCTCAACCTTATTGCTCAGATGTTCCGAGAGGAGCAGCAGGCGCGCTCCGCAAGCCTACCAAAGATGGCACGACACAGCGAATTCCACTGTTAAGACAGTCAAACTGGCTGAAGAAGCCCCCATCGGAAGTTTGCAGAGCGGCCTAGACGCTTAGAAACAATGGGCTGCATCGTGTGGGCCTGAGCGCTGGTACGTGCTACAAGCCACGGGGTGGGAACCCGGGAAACCCTGGGGAACAAGGAACCAGAGGAACCTGGGAAACCCGAGGAACCTTGGGAACTTGGGGAACCCAGGGAGGGGAACCAGGAACCTGGGAACCCGGGAAACCCGAGGAACCCGGGGAGCCCAGGGAACCCGGGGAACCTTCTAGCAACGGGCAGCGTGAGAATCGGAGGCACTGAGGGCGAGGAACCTGGGGAACCCGAGGAACCCGGGGAACCTCCGAGCAACGGGCAAAGTAGCCACCCGAGGCACCAAGCTGTAGTCAAGTAGTGAGAGGCCTTTAGGCAAGCCTACCTGGGGAACGAAAATTCGGGATGTGTTGGTCCATCTTGGGGCTTGGAGCCTCTTGGGGCTGTCTCTGGTCATCTTCGGGCGTTGCAGCAGGAACTGTTTCGCGCGTTTACGTCGCTCTTGGCCCGCTTTTAGCCGTCGTGGGCCTTGGGGCCCTGTTGGAACCCTCTTGACTCTCTTGAGGAATCCTGCCGCCCTCGTAGACTCTGTTGGGTCCTCTGGTGTCCCTCATGGGGGACGACGACGACGACGACGACGACGCCGACGACGACGAGGACGACGACGACCTCCTCTGACGGTCTCCAGAGGGGGACCCCCCGAAGCGGCCCGAAAAGCACAAAAAAAAAAACTCGACCGACCATCGACCCTCGACGTACGACGACGACGACGACGACGACGACGACGACCACGACCACGACCACGACGACGACGACGACCACGACCACGACCATGACCACGACGACGACGATAAAGGCACGACGACGACGACGAAGAAGACCAAGGCACGACGACGACGACGACGACGAAGTCCAGACCCATCAAGGGGCGCATTCTGACCACAGTTTCGAGCAAAACCGCCTGCGGCCACGATGACCCATGAAACCTCCAGAGAGCGCCAAAACATCCAAAAGCCTTGGAAGGCGACGACGACGATGACGACGACGACGGCGACAAGGACAGGGTGCCCAACCTGACTGGCGCGCACGAAAGGGGAAGTGAAAAATGAAGCAAATGTAGGCCTCGTTCGCTGAATAGATAAGCAAGGTTGGGAAAAGAAGCGCGAGAAACCTGCGAAAACCTTCGAGGGTGGCTACGAAGACGACGGCGACGACGATGCCCACGAGCTCCCCGGAGTTCCCCGAGGTCCCAGGAGGTCCTCCAAAGGTCGCCAGAGGTCTCCAGAGGCCAAGGAAGCAACAATAAGGAGGAGCACCACAACGCCTTCCAAAACGACGACGACGACGACCACCACCAACACCACCATCACCACGACGACGACGACGACGTTCCTGGCCGCGCGCGGCGGAAAGTGTGCCTGGTGTCCACCGCAAACTCCTCGCCCGCGGGGAGAGGCGACCGAGGAGGGAAGGTCGAACTTCGTGGTTTGAGGATCGAACTTCGAGGATCGACAACCCAGGCTCAAGGATGAAACTTCGAGTTTCGAGGAGAAGGGAGGAGATCGAGTCAAGGGGGAGGAGGAGGAGGAGAACGAGGAGGAGGAGGAAGAATAGGAGAGAAGGATGACCTGAAGCCCCTCGCGTCATCGTGAACAACAAAAAACACTGGAAGAAAAACTGGCCCCGTGGTAGAGTCGAGACCTCTGGGGGTCTGGGGAACAGTAATATCGGACTTCGATGTTCGAGGACCGAACTTCCATGACCGCGGTCTGGGGAATGTTGCTCACCCTTGATTATTGGGCCTCTGGGGGAATCCTGGTCGCCGCAGCTGGATTCCCCTCGAAATTTAGTTCACGACGAACCCCTGGAGAAATCGGGGGATCGATATGTGAAAGGAAAAGGAGGAAGGGTCCATAGCCGCAGCTGGCGGAAGGCGTCAAGCTGTGTCCTGACCTGGCTCGCAGCAGCTCCAGGTGGATTCCGCGCATACATCAGACTGTATGGTCTGAACGGTCATTCATTGTCCCTCGGTGCGTGCCTGAAGGGAAGTTCCGCGGCGCGGATCCTGCTTGTTTCTTTCTGTCGTCGTCCCACCCACGACCCGCCCCGCGACCCGACCGCGACCCGCCCCGCGACGCACCCGCGACAAACCCAGCGACCCACCCGCGACCCCACCCGCAACCCACCCACATTGCTTCGACGAAAAATCGGCGCCTGCGGCAGATTCGTTTTGCGATGAATTTTCAAGAATCGGCAGTCGTGACGAGCTCTTTCAGAGCCTTGCAGACTGCCGACGACCCCGCCGCCCCCTTCACTCTTATCCACAACTATGGGATACTACGTACGTGACCCTCCTTCCTAATATTCGCATTGCTTGTGGCGTGGGCGCTCCGGCATCCGCACGTGTGTCCAAACTGCGTGGCCTGGCCCACCACACGCTTTGCTCGTGGGCGCGCGCCGGTGACAACGTCCTCACCGTGACGGCCCGGCATGCCAAGCGCGCGGGCAGCATCGACAAGCACATGGCTGGAGCGCTGGAGCGCCTCGCCATCTCCTACCAACACGTCAGCTGGCACGCGAGCGAGCCGAAGGCCGCCAATCCTCACCTAGATGCTTCGCCTGCCCGTGAGCGTTTCCGAGGAGTTCGCCACGCAGGCCAACGGCCTCGCCACTGACCCAGCAGCAGAGGAGTGCGCGCCCGGCCTTCCTACAGTGCTCGACGCGCGCGACTTGCGACGAACGAACAACGCACACCCATACCCACAGGAGGGGGGGCCGGAGGGAGGAGGACTTCGTATGGGTAGGGGTGTGGGCTGTCGGAAACGGGGGGAGGCGCCCGTTCGAGCGGGGACCCCGCGCGGGGGTGCGCCCGTAGCGTCAGGCGCCCGTGGTGGGCCGCGGGCACGCAAGGCGTGCACAAGATCCGCCGACCCTGTCGGCGTGTGTGGGGTGTCTGTCCGGTCCCGTCGACGGGAGCCTTCTTTCGCCCCCTCCTTCCCATCCTCCTCTCCCGTCGGGAGCGAGAGAGAGAGAGAGAGAGAGAGAGAGCACCCTTCCTCGTTCGGGGAACCGGTTTGCAGCTAGAGGGAATTCCGCCCACGTCCTCATTACGTCAAAAGGAAGCCCCTTCCCTTTGTCCCTTCCCCCGGCGGGGGAGGGGGTCAGATTCGCATCGCCTCTGGGGTCATCCTCTCCCATGCTGGTCCTTCTCCGGCGCGCCAGTCCTCATCGGGTCCCCCTCCCCAGGTGGGGAGGACTCCCAGGGGGGGGGAGGGGAGGGAGTCAGATACGCATCCGTCCCTGGAAGGCCTCCTCCCCCTCCCCTCCCCTCTCCCACGCCAGTCCTCCTCCGGTCCTCCTCCCCAGGGGGGGGGTCCCAGGGGGAGTCCTTTTCCTCCTCCTTCTCCTCCTCCTCCTCCTCCTCCTCCTTCTCCTCCTTCTACCCCTCCTGGTCGTCGTCGATGTCTTTCAGGGTCGGCGGCACTGGCCATCAGGATTTCACAATCAAGCAGACGGCAAGAGCCAAGAGAGACAAGAGGGAGGCACAAGGCAAGATGACACGAACATGGATGCCTCTGACACCCTCCGTCCCCTGTGGGCATGGGTGCGTGTTCGTTCGTTCGTCAACTTGGCGCCCCTCGGCGGCAGCCAAGCGTAAGACAGAGCACCCAGCCGGGGTGCCGAGCGCCGGCGCCTGCCAGCTTTTAAGGACACCTCCTGTGGTGCTGAATTGCGAAGACGTCTGGAGCGGAAAGGCCGTGCCAGCATCCAAGAGGAGCAGCAGCCTGGCTCTGAAGGACTTGTAGTGCTAAGTTGCGAGGACGTCTCAAGCGAAACGGCCGTTCTAGCATCCGCAAGTAGCGGCAAGACTGCTCAGAAGGACCACGTTCTGGTGCGAGGAACTCCCAAGCGAAAGCACCCTTTCCTGAGGCTCGGGCCCTCTCTGGCCAGGACATATCGGAGTAAGTTGTGAAGAAATATCGCACGCGAGCGTTGTTGTTGCTGCTGTTAGGGGGCCGGTTCGGGCGGCACCCCGAAACGCTGGAGCGTGAGCCTCAATTTCAAAGAGAAAGCAGCCAGCGCCGAGGCGAGAGCGCGAGGGCGCCTGAACAACTCTCGAATCATCAACATTCAACAACAACCAACCAAAAAATCATAACTCGATCCTCAATCTCGGCCCAGGGCCGCTGGACATCACCATCCCGGCCAGGCCAAGGGGCTGGGTGGAGAGGGCGATTCCGCCAGCCGAGGAGAAGCGCAGGAGGTGGAGGGGGACGACGAGGAGGGTCCCCTCCCACTGCGCGGGTGCGGGGCGGCTCCGCTGGCTTCCCCGTGACTGGATCCTTCGCGCCAGTCCTGGAAGCATCAGGCGCTCTGCCCAGAAGCTCCTTCTCTCTCTCTCTCTCTTTCTCGCATTCCTCTCTGTATGGATCTATAAACAGATCGTGCATGTAAATCTCCACATGCATGCATACCTACATACACCGTACATTCACGCACACACACACACACACACACGTACACGCGCCATCCTCAATGCTGACATGTACACATTGAAACATAAGTATGTCAAAAGCCTCCTGGTACATATGTGATAAGACGACGGTATGGTGAAGCAGAGGGCCTACAAGCACTGAGGGCGCAGACACGAATGCGATGATCAGATGAGCGGTTCAAACAGCTTGCCCGAGGAGCAGGAGACAGCGCCCTTGAGAGCGAAGAAATTACGTATATATCCATATCTCTCTCTCTCTCTCTCTGTCTCTCTCTCTCTCTTTCTCTCTCTCTCTCTCTCTCTCTCTCTTTCTCTCTATGTATAGTGTTGTTTCGTCTATATATGTGTGTGTGTGCATCGCTCGATGTATTCACACACATATGTATACGCGAATGCGTACGTATCGATAAACACATACGTATATAACTACAACAGGAAGGTACACCGATGCATGTACACATGCATGTAAGTCTTACGTAAAACTCACACTCAAAGTCAAGCGCAACCACGTGCACATTTACATAGACACTTTTCAAGATATGGACGCAGTCATACTTATGATCCAAAACACGCTGGTGGAAGCACTACATAAACACATACATAAGCCTAAACATCTACATACACATATACATCAACACGCCACCGTGCCCCCTGGCATGCTGAGGCGTGTTAGATGTTGTTTTTGTGTGCTCTCCGTGGGAGGGAGAAGATGAGAACACACAAGACGCTTCAAGCGCCAGCGTCAAAACTCGGATGCCGACACGCACCGAAGGCAAGGTTTAAGGACATCTTGCCACGGCTCGGGAGGCAAGGCACAGGAGG